AGGTGCGCGCGTAAGGCGCAGAGGCGTGGGAACTATTGCGCGCACGCAAGGCGCGAGAATGCGTGACTAGAAAATGGTTAGCTTTTGAAATTGCCAAGAAATTGACCTTATATGTGCGAATTGTGCTAAGTGCAAAGGTGCGCGCGCGAGGCGCACAGCGTGGGAAAGCGCGCGCACAAGGCGCGAGAATGCGTGACTAGAAACTGGTTAGCTTTTGAATATGCAAAGAGATTGACCTTTATGTGTTTAAATAGTGTGAAGTGTGAAGATGCGCAAAACTAGATCTTGCTGACTGCTCCCCTCGCGGTGGGCTCCAGTTGTAGAAACAACAATACAATGAGGAACAAGGATGCTCCTAACTGTATCTATAAAATGTTGTGAGGTCGCGCGTTACCTAGTCTGCTATTCTTGAGGAGACAAGTGCGTTCGACCCTAGGGGAAGCGAGTGCTGCGAAGATCTAGAGGTACGCGCTTCAGCGAAGCGTGAGAAAGCGCAAGTGCGCGCAAGGTACGAAGGCGCGGGAACGCGCGCGCGTATTAGCGCGAAGCGCGGGAAAGCGCGCGCGTGTAAGCGGAAATAAAAGAGACTAAGCTTAAGTGATGATATAAAGCAATATAAGAAAAGATAGATGCAAAGTGTAGACCAATAGACTTCTACTATGTACTGCTAAGTAAATAGTGGGTGATAACTAGTAAGTTCAAGGGAAAAGTAAGGTTAGTAATAGTATGTACTGCTGGCGCTTATATAGCGCGCCTAAGTGCGGTCAAGCGGAGCCGAAGCGCTACCGAGTAGGTATGTAAATATATATATGAGTGAGAATGCATGATAAAAATAAAGGTGGAACTATGCTAATAAAGGAAATGGAAATATACGCACTAGGGAGCTTGGTGGACAGTGGATGGATGCTTCTGGATGGCTGGCGCCATAGGGCGCGCAAGCGCGGGAACGCGCGCGCGCGTATACATCGTGAAGCGCGGGAATGGTGCGCGCATGGCGCGCGTTGCGTGGGAAAGCTGCGCCTCATATAGAGATAGCTGCGGGTAGCGCACAGAGTAATGCTATGAGTTCGTGCTGTATACTCCTTGGTGAAAACTACCATATCACGCCATGAGAGGCATGATTCTCTACAACGCCATCAGCACATTTCAAAACAATGCCGTGCTGGTATGCCTCGAGGAAATCTTCATCCAGCAAAGTGTCCCAGCAGGAATGGAACAACTCCCTGCGACAATAGGTGAGAAGGGATGCCATACCGGTTTTTGAAATGCGAGACAGGCCGCTCAGAACATCCTTGATACTGTCAGGAAGCTAAATATGTCAACGGCAGTACTAGGGGATACACCGGCTTCAACAGAACTTACCGACGGCAAAAATCCAACGAGGTGGCATGCTCCTGATTGGGGTGACGACCATGCGTATTTGGTTAAATTCCCGAAATACAAGTAGAGCGGCCAGGCCTTTGCAGTCCCAATGTTTGCCAGGTGGGTGGCATCAGAAAAGAACATCAAACCAGCGACGACGCGCTCTAGCATACAGCCATTCTCCTTTGGGAGCTTCTGAAGGCTGTCCTGAGCTGCCAACCAGGCATCGGATGTGTAGAGCTCGTCATAGATCCGCTCCTGGTGGTCTCCCAAAGGGTCCTTCCACAACCGTTGGAAAGGCATAAGGTGGAACGCCCTCGATTGGATATCCGCAAAAGCCGCGCGAATCACGTCGACAAGAGGGCGATAATGGAACCCAGGAATAGTATAGGGTAGAGGACCATCCCCCCGTGACTTTGTTGGGATGTCAATGGTGATACTGGTCTGTATCCAATCATCTGGAAATGAGATTCGTTTCCCGTTCTCCTCTGCGTCCAATTCTCGCAAGCTTCGCCTCACAGAAAAGTCTTCTAGGTGCTTGCGGTCAAAATCCTCTGCCAGCAAGACATCCTCGACCAACTGGGAGACTTTTGTTTCGGATACCCGACTGCTACCGGTGTTCATCCATGTCATGAGTCGATAGATGCTCATGTTAGCAAAAGGGAAAGGTGGTGCTAAGACATTCGGCGAGGAGTCTGTTGTTTGGGTAGCTATGGGAGAAGTTCTTGCGAGTAGAGTAGATGGTATAAATTTGTCCGGCTCAAAAGAAGGGTGTCGAGGATATAACCGACAAAGTCCAAATGCGTTGAAGGTGGTCTGGAGTGTGTCCCTTAGCGTTAGAATAACGCGTTGAATTCTGGATCGGGGCGGTTGGGAGGCCACAATTTGGGCCGCTGAGCTGTCAGCATTATCCGAAAGATTAAGATCGTTGTCTGAATGCCCAATATCAACGAAAGGTCTCGGGATTCGTCTCGCCAGAGGTGCATTGTCCGCTAGAATGATTCGAGCTACGTCTGAGCTGAGAGACGAATGCTAGCCGAAGAGAGACGAACCTGAGACGTAGTCCAACTCGTGTCTAAAGTCATTCCTCATTTCAACATCGGTGTGATCCTTCCCTAACTCACGCGGGCCTTGAGAATCTGTGGGGAAATTTGGGGCACAGTGTGACCCATGTGCCATGGACATTGGCCTGAGGAGCTTGTAGGGTGCAATAGGCTTCAGGTTCGGACGGCCCCTCACATGCCGGACTGCTGAGATTCTCTAATAATGATGATATTAGTACCTTAACGGAAGTTTGGAGCAGTTTTGAAAGGCCACCTACCAATGATGCACTCGCCGCAAGGTCTGGGGGTAGATTCGAAGAAATTGCATCTTTTGCGTGATCTTGTCTCTTCTGACTAGCAAGGGTGCTAGATCTCTTGTAGAAATGACAAGCGGCGCGATGCCTACTGAGTCCTCGATTATCCGTTTTCCTTTCCCAGGAGCAACCAGGAGCATCACAAGATACCATTACTACTAGAAAGAGAAAGAAAAAGCCGGTCCAGATGGTTTCAAAAATGCGCATGGCGGCAGCACTCTCAGGCTAGCGGCTTGCCAGTGAGCAACATAGAACAACTGTGACAAGCAAGTTACTTAATGTCTCAAGGCGCACTTTGGCGGCTGGTGGTCACGGTATGATCACACTGTGAGAGTCACGCTGCAACTGGGGCAAGTGCATCATGATCATGTGATGGTAGTACCGTGACTTCTTCTACTACTACTACCTACGCCGCTGCCGCTGCCGCCGTCACCGAAGTCCTCAGGCTTCTAATAAACTCAGACTCAACTTGAACAAGCTGAGTCTATGGAAGTGTGTCACGGTGGACTCAAGTTCCAAGTCAAGCTTTGACTCGGCCGCAGTCCGAGTCACCGGCACAACTCCTCCACAATTTACACAGCGCTATGGTGCAACACGCAACCATCAAAACAGATGCACTAGGTATGCCTCTATTAAATTTCTAACATTCAAATCATTCACGCGCCTTTCCGAGTCAACACATTGATTTGAAATTGGGGGTCTATCGTGGTCACGTGACAGACATATGGACGCGTCTCAACGCGTCTGCGTGTTCTTTTTCTGATTGAGGATGGAAACCATGATTATTGGGAAATGGAGGGGCCAAGTTTGTATATTACATACTAGGTCAGTTTGCATCACTTGGTCTCTTCAACTTAGCATTGCATTTTACAGATATAATTTTGATGTGTCTATGATCTATCTGTTCTCGCGATTTTGAACGCGCCCCTGCATGTAATCCGACTTGCGCTTTAACAGATTTTGAGTATCAATACAAGCTTGAGTGTGAATACGATCTCGTTAGATCAAACTCGTAAGTTGCCATTTACCTCCAACTTTATCATACATTTCTACTTCATTCGTGACTTGCGCTTTAACAGATTCTGAGTATCAATACAACCTTGAGTGTGAATACGATCTCGTTAGATCAAACTCGTAAGTTGCCATTTACCTCCAACTTTATTACTTCATTCGTGACTTGCGCTTTGACAGATTTTGAGTATCAATACAACCTCGAGTGTGAATATGATCTCGTTAGATCAAACTCGTAAGTTTCCATTCACCTCCAACTTTATCATACATTTCTACTTCATTCGTGACTCTCACCAGGTTCTTCAGTACTACTACATAGTTGATCATCTCCACCACCGTGTCCTCCATCACAAAGTAAGTCCAATTGCTTTTCTTAGGGATATGACCTCACAGATACCCTGCTCTTGGATAGATGACTCAGACACTGTTTTCATCAAGTATCGGCACTCGCAGATGAGCAGGAGATCACATTGTGGTAAGTATTTGTTTACTTGTGAGCATATTCTATATTCTAATGAGACGAAGCGCCAACGCGATTTCTTCCATGGCGCCAACACTCCGACCACACTCGCCAACGGTCCGGGCACTTCACCGACCAACCCCCCCCACGTGAACAATGCATTCGCCACCACAAGACGTGGACTAACGCGCTTGTCCGTCAGTACAAACGCGTGTTTACGCAAGCTCAGAGGTAGCTGTTTGCGCGTTGCCAACTGTATAAGCCCAGTTGGAAGCAGAGTAAGTTTACGTCGCTCATCCTGAACATCTGGTCTTAGCTTTCACACAGATATGAACAAATAATTGTGTGACGCGCCATCTAGTACCACTTACGAATCTCTGGACTACCACTATATCATCATTGTACTATACTCATATCAATCACACATAGTAAACCAGAGGTAGCCGCATCACAATTACTGTACAATAACTACACACCCCTCACATATACTATCTCAAACGATTACTAGTTCGTCAACAAGTTCCTGTATAAAACAATCATATTCAAATATCTAATGACTATGATAATGTGACACAACCCTCAGTACACTGCACCGACTCCGTGCTTTAGATGCTGGCGGAAAATGGCGATCGAAGACCAAGTCAAAAAACCCCCGACGAAAACGATCGTGATTGTGCACGGTATGGTTGTTAATAAAGACCGATCTGGAACCGTAAAGATCCCCGCTAAAAAGCCTAAAATAGATAAGGCCACGCTATTGAAAATACATATTCATCAGTACTGCGATAGGTGTAAATTATAGTGGGATATCTACCTCGTCGTTCGCAATAAGCTAGGAGCGCTATAGATGATAGCAACCTTCGTAAGGTGCTTATGCAAGTGCTGAGACTGTTAGAATATTTGTGAGAAACGAGTAGCAATGATTGTGTGTCTTGAACGTACGGCAAATTCAAGAGATTTCATTCTTTGCCCAAAATGCTGTGCTACAACACCGGCGAAAATACAATGGACACTAAGGATCAGTGAGAGAGAGCATAGGGCTCTTGTTGTCGTTTGGGAACCAACGTTCGGAATGGTGAGTATGCTAGCATCGACTGCCATAATAATGCCCGCCTGAGGAAGCACAAGCACACAGAAATCAAACAAATAGTACATGCTGATAGTACTAGGTCACTAACCAGGGTGCTGTGCTTGATATTATCGTTGTTGAAATGGTCGAGGAATGTCCTGATATCAAGCATATTGACTATACCGTCGACATGAAGTTTTTCGACGTGTTCCAATACTAGTACTGGAACGCCAAACATAGCAGCTGTCGCCAGCATAGATAGAAATCGGACATTTCGTTTGAGTTCGCCGCTTCCTTTGATTGAGTGGGACCGCATTAGACGAGCTTCGGGCAAGCCATAGTAGTTGAGAAATTGGTGGTGGCCTTCCCTGCAAATTAAACATGATTTTTAGAGCATTGATATCCTGCAACTTACGTAGAATATTCCATATTCTTCCTATTAGTTTACGTTAGTCGCGATCAATTTTCGTACGAAAGCTGCAATTGACGTGAATGCACCACAAAATGCGACACCTTGTTCCTGTAAGGAACGATTAGAGTTGAGAAGGCTCTCTGTGCGATTCTGTCTAGCAAAAGAATAAGAACATGTTATGTTGTGCGACACACCAAAGCTAACAAGGCGAGCGATCACTTTCTCCATTTGATCGGTGCTCCAGAACAGTGAAGCCGCAGTTGATTGTTCGAGAGTCAAACCCTCTATCATCCGTGCTTTGTCTCAGCCATTGGTGATACCAAACACACTTCTTACCTGCTAGAAACCATTCTAAGTGAGCTCGTAGCTCAGTGGCGTCAGAGGGTTGCATGCTATAATGTCTTGGGAAGAAATCAATGTGCTTCCTAACAAAAACTCACATCAGTATCCCAGAAGTCCCTTTTGTACCTTAGTATCATCGAGTTCTCACCAAACTGTGCCTCTAGCTCCAGCCCTGGCACAACCGTGAAATGATTAACTTCCTCAGAATGCGTTTATCAGAAAATGAAACCTACGCTTGTGGTTCCACTCTCTCACAAAGGCGCACTCTTGGAATAGAAGATTGGCGTCGAAATCCTCGAACCAAGCAATGATGCGGGCGTCCGGGACCACGCAATAATATTCGTAGTAGTCTCCGTCTTCTTTTCTTACAGGCTCGACGACCATATACCACATGTCTTCCTGTAATTGCCTGCGAGCTGCGCCTATCCAGTTCTGGAGATTGCTAAATTGATCATGTGAGCATTTTTTTAAGTTGCTTCCTGTATATGTTTTCTGTTTGACTGTGAGATACGCAACAAAAAAATTAGCATTGAATATTTACTTACCGTTGAGGCGTCGAAGTAATACATTACCCCTGAAGGATGTACAATTCCTTCCCAGATGCCGTAGCTTTGATTACTGTAGAAATAACTATTATTCAGTTGCGTAGTACAGTAGGAAAAGGAGTAAGAGTCATCTCACCTGAAACCATCCACTTGTTTGCACTTCATGGAGTAGTTGGCACCAAGCGTGGGATCACTGATCACGAAGAGATATTTAGTACTACTAGTTAGTCACAGTGACTGGCGGGCAGCTGCCGCGAATCGGATGGAAGAGACTTACTGCATCACGGCTTCCGAATACCGTCGCAACTCCGATGGCCATGATGGAATGCTTCGGTTCAATAAATCAGCGTCCTTAGTAGTAGGAGTAGTATGAGTCTGGCTCAGAGTCGTTGCCATCTCGTTTAGTGTCCAACTCGGACGTAGTACTCGCGACTAGGCATGGCAGGAGCCATCTGACTCGGAATTTAGCGGAATTTCAAATTATTGGTGCAGCGGCACTGTGACGTACTAGTAGTACTAGATAGTACATCGCTACTTCATGCACAAGAGTCTAGCCTTCGATGAGCTGTGTGTCCTTTACGCGATTATATTATCGATGTCTGTTTGATGACCAGTAGTACTAGTACATCAACTACTAAGTTACTGTACTGCCGCAGCGGCGGCAGACCTCTTCAACATTTAGTGACTAATTCTACAAGTGGTAGTACTACGATACCCAATGATCACTAACTTGAAGTATTTGAGTCACGTCTCGGACACAAATCAGATAATCTGGTAGTGGTATAAGCCTTCACATCCACCCATCGCTTTGCCAAGCTTTCATCCTTCTTGATGACGTTGATGATGTGTCCCATCAATAAATCATACATAAACTTGAAACTTTCTGCCGTGAAGTCGACTGCACGGTTAAACCATCCGGAAGAAAACTGCGTCAAAACGCAGTAAATTGCAGCTGCAGCCGTGCAATAGAGGTTGTCCAGATCATAGATGTAGTCCCAGTAATTGAGTTTCCTCACTACGCCGATAACCACGTCTAGAATCGCATTGTGTTCAAACGCCATCCATTGGTCAGTAATTTCGTCCTTCTTGAAAATAAATTTGAGAGGCCACATTACGTCGCCGATGAGGTCTTTGATCTTGACTCGCTTCAACTTTGATTCTGCTGTATTTGACCAAAGCGAGGGACGTAGATCGTAGGCTCGATCGATGACGATGAACGCCATCTCCTTGCAAGCCGCCATTATGAGCTTGGGTGGTGCGGAGAGCTTCATGTACAATGATCCGGCATTTTTTGCCGCCCAACGTTGACCAAAATCTGTTAACCCACTATATCAGCCCTTTCTTCAACGTTGGAATTTGACTTACCTTTGACTGTTTTTTTCACTGACTCGGCTGAGTCGGGTCGAATATTATAAGTCTTCTCTAAGCAATCATTGACTGCATTTGCTAGCGCAACCTGTGCCAAGCTCTCCCTTTCTGAACATTTTATCATTGCACAGTCGTTAACCGCGTCCCAAATAAGCTGCTCCCTTGCAGCCAGAACAAAACCTTCATGTGGTGAGAGGTTTTCTCAATATTCGAGAGGGGGAAAATGGATATGCGGCATAGACTCAGTGGTGACCGGGTCAGAGGGCTCTAGCTGTGTCACTGTGAGCGCGCACGTTCGTTATGGAGGAGCGCTTACTGAGGGGGTTTTGAACATTTTTCGTCGCGGACCAGAATGTTCGATGAATCGCCAGTCACCCTTGCATTTTTCAGATGTTTGGCTACTCAGGTAGATGGGGGGTGTGAGGATCGTGAGGGGTTGCACATCATCTGGTGCTACTGATGGTAGTGAGGAAATACCGTCCATAGACATGACTGGAGCAGCAAAACTGCGCCGATAATCAGCAAAAGCTGGCGGCGGCTGTAGTCTGAGTGCCAGATCACTCGGACGGAGATCCTGAGATGGGACCATGACCGATGAAAGCAAACTGCCATCATAATCGTTGAGGGTTGGCGGGGGTGCATTCATCTGCGCCACACTGGCAACACCCGAATGTGGATTGGGTGGGAGTGATGGAAGCCAATTGCTTGGAATTGGTGTTTGCATGGCACCTGGATAAGGACCAAATGGGGTGTAAAGTGAATGAGAACGACTCAGATCAGGTGGGATGATTGGTACAAGCGCCGCATTTCCTTGATAATTGCCGAGGGTTGACTGAGGTGTGCGCATTGAATGTGAATGATCAGATGGGATTGGTAGATTTTGAGGCGCATTGCCTTGATAATCGTCGAAGGTCGTTTGGGGAGTATGCATCTGTGTTATGGGATGTCGATGATGGGATGGTATCGTGACTGGTGGAGGCAGATGAACATTGTCACGATGACTCAGATCACCCTGATGACCACCGAGGGCTATTACTAGGGTTGACTGAGGCGTGTACACAGTCGGCGTCACAGAACGGGAATGATCAGATGGTGCCGCTGGTGCTGGTGCTGGAGGCACAGCTTGAGTTAGACTGCCTTGATAATAACCACTAAAGGTTGGCTGAGGCGGCTGGGGTGTTTGCATTTGCATGACGGAACCGCAACGTTCAAAATGGGGTAGGACTGGTGGACGATCATTGTGATCGCCTTGATCATAGGTGAAGGTCACCTGAGGGTCGGGCAGTGGTGCCAAGGAGCCTTGGACGAACGAATAACCTGTGGGATCACTGTCACGACGACGACCTGGAGACTGATGTTGCGTTTGTTGATAATGATGCTGTATGCTGAGGAGGTTGAGCCGGGTCTGAGTGTCTGTTGGCCCGGCCCCGTCATTATCAGGACCAGACCTGGCAAAGGAGGAATCAGGTGGACGATGACCATGACCGCCACCAACTTGTCCATCAAATCCTGGAACCGGTGAGAGGAATGATCGAATGTCTTCAGAGTAATCATAATCAGTTCCGCGTCGTGGCATGTTCTCTGAATCAGGATACATCACAATGAACGGTCAGTGGTAAGAGGTGAAGAGATTATTGTTGGTTGAAATCAGACCAGAACAGCCGGAATCATTCTGCGATAGGAAACAGCTCCGAGTGATTTATGAAACTGCAAACTACAATACAACAACTTGAAATGAAAAGCAGCGAGGCACGAGGACTAGTATTCAAATTGGCGGTGGGAATGATACCTGGAAAGACGTCACTGATATGAGTAATGGTGACTTAATCCATACATAAATCACTTACGACTACACTGGCACAGCCGTAACTCGGATGGCTTCCGATTTGTCATCACTATCGCCGATGGGAAATTGTTTTAATACAGCAATCTCAGCATCAGCATGATCGAGAGCTCTCCTGGTGCCATCTCGAGCTGCAGTAAGATATTCAAGGTGGACACCAGGATCTTGATGAGTAGCCGCTGCATGTAGCGGTTCCGTCTGGCCAACAAGCACATGCACTAGCCACTGCAATTCTTGCTCTGCCTTCCCAAGTTCCAAATCCGTTTCATGATGTAAGGACTTGTCAAAGACGTTCAACCTTCTTGACGTCTCAAGCAGCCAGCCTCTGTATAAGTACTCCATGCGCAAGGTCTCACGAACCGCTTCTTTGTAGTGAATGGCGCAGTGGAATGAGTGCTTGCTCATATTCTTTACATGTGTTAATAACGCCTCCTGATCCTACAGATGTGATGATTATGTGGGAACTATATATGTCGAGTCACGGCGTACCTTGGTGCTCATACCTTCCGAGTACTGATTACACGAATGTCTGCGCAAGATATGCTCAGCACGATCATTTCTCTCTCCTGAGAAAGGTCGCCGGTGGCGATAAGGATGGTACAAATTGGTATGCCTGTTTGACTCGGAATTGCGGGTTGGTTCTTGATAGGAATATTGAAAGCCTGAAGTATCAGCAGCGCGTTGTTTGCCACTGGCCTGGGACCGCTTAGAATTAGGTGTCACAGGGAAGTTATCGTCCTCATCCTCTGAGGCCATACTCCCAAGCTCTGGCACAGTTACAATATGTGAGTCCATCATCCACAAGATATAATGATACCTGAATCATCGATACCTGATATTCCAATTGATGGGGGAGAGCTCGGAGGTGAGTTTGAAGGAGAGTAAAGCTTCAACTTGTCACGGCTAGCCTGAAGAGTTGTAGGCATATAAGGATAGGGGGGAAGAACTTGACTCGAAGTTGGCTTTTCATCGTAGGAAGCAGCAGCAGCTAAGTCCATTTTTTTCCGTGGATGTGTTCAAGTTTTTGAGAGTCTGAGACTGCGGGCTCCGTGAGTGTCACGGTTTCTAGGTAATTGTTTAATAGGGCCAATCGGAGTTTGAAAGACCCATTCCTCGCTGATCTCCGGATGAGCCCTTACTGGTAGTCCTCGGGACCAGACATTGCAGCACTCTTGGGTGAACGTTTATACTTGTGCCACATTGTGACATAACTTGAAGAGGCTGTAATGAGTCTTTGTAAGTCATGACCCGGGTACGTGGTGCTTATCAGAAAAGTCAGAGCGCTTCCCACTTAATATTACTGTTCCATTCATGGTATAACCGGAGTTTCAAAGTGCCTTTGCCATTTTTGGTGCTTGCAACTTGCAACGAGGCTAGCGCAATCTTCTCCTCGTCAGCCGTGCCTAGTCTGCCGCTCATACCGAACCTTGTATGGTGCTATAGGCAATATCATGCATCACATAACTCTGCTCTATGGCCGCAGCATATTGTCAGGGTCGCCGACTACAGCTAGTATAAAAGCTCAGTGACTCGGCCACCTGGCTTTTTTGAACGCCAAGTAGTAGGTTGCTATGTCTTACCACCATGACGTTGATCATCCACTGGCAGATATAAGTCAGTGGTACCCGGGTCATGATGGAGGTGATGATAGAGCAAGGGTGACTGGGCCTGTTGCAGTCAGTGGTACCCGGGTCATGATGGAGGTGATGATAGAGCAAGGGTGACTGGGCCTGTTGCACTGCGGTTGTGAAATATGGAAAGGTTGGACATGGTCATGATAATATTGATGATTCTGAAAGAGCTCGAGACTCGAGAGTCTGTTACAATTGAAAAAGTAGGTTACCTGACATCTTGTAGTAGTAGCCATCGTTTCACCAGCGGCCGTGGCTCTGCCAACTTTACTACATTTTTGAAAAAGGCTACTAGCCTGAGTGGTGTGACACAGTCGACATTTCGGACATTACCAAGGGGCTTAGGGACTCGGATGTATCCGAAATCATACACCAGTGGCCACACTCAGCACCAGCAGCGAGCACAAGCAAATCGATGTTCATGATAGAACGAATTGCCCGATACTACCACGACAAGTTCACCTGAACCCACAAGGAAATTCAGAGCAGTAAAAGTGACAAAACTCGGACGATGACACGGAGCTTGGATAACTTCTTGAACCATGACCAGCGTGACTGCCATCCATCTCTGGCGAGTCAAGTTCGGATCTTTTGTTCCTGGAACATCCCCAGTACTATGTGGCTCATTCGTGAAGTCGAAGATGCTGGCACACGTGCACCCTGGCACAATGTACCGCCTTTTTTGTTGTCGACCTGCGTCTACACTGTCTGCCAAGATGGCCCGGGCATGTGTCTTGACCTCGATGTAGTATGTGGCTCTCATCTCCCTCCGAGTCGGTCTGCCGCAATACTGACTTGTCTTCAACATCTACCCCCTTGTGATATCAGTAGCTGTTCAGCGAGGCTCCCATGACCCATACATTATTGGAGGTGCAATCATAGCCTGAGGTCATCTCATATACTAGTCTTGAAATACCGTGACTGACGACTTTTACTAAGGATTAGAGCTTTGACTGACTCTGCAATGACTCAGATATTCCTCACTTTCTCGCTCTCCGTGATCTGGTCCTCTTCGAGTGTGCAGGAATTGAGGAGCTCCCACCGGGTCTAGGCTCAGAGGCACATTCTTTGTTCGTGGTTATGGCTACTCATGAAAGGACCAGTGCCTTGTGCATTCGGTTAAAACCCTTTGGCATCCTGCCGCATGAATTCAAGTAGCAGACACTAGTAACCCACGGCAATCAGTGCGTATCAACTTCACTGCGACAGCCTCAACTATGACTCTGATCTGCGGCCGCTTTGGTCCTCCCTAACTCAGAGTTTCAAGAGGTCTGTGACTGTTCGCTGGAAACCTCGTCCGTACTAGTAGTACTATTCGCTAATTGTTTCATCCAGGATACATTTCGAGGAGACGGTCGTACTAGTAGGCTAAACATCCGAGTTCCATCATTTACTACGTCGCGGCCGCTGTCGAAAAGTAACTCGTGAACCCCTGCGTTTGCCTACTTCTCTCCTGGCCACCAAAGATGATACTATTACCACCAGCTGCAGGCGTTGTGCTACTCCGAGTCATGCTTAATTCAACGTACTTAGCAATACGGCACGCAATGATTTCCTTCGCGTGCACCGCAACTTGAATATTCTCATTATCATTGACTATCCTGAATTCTTTCTCTGTGACTCTGCGGCTCAATCCATCATGATGGTCCGGAGGAGGAAACACGTGGAGAATGTGACACGAAATCATTCGGTACGCGAGCACGCTTAGAAATCACAGAACGTTACTAATGTCCAAAATAGGGCATCTTTCAAGCGATGTATATTACACTGTCATCTAGCGATCTCCTAAACAGGCACTCGTTTACAGGCCCCGAGTGACTTATAAGACGCAAGCTGGATAACCTTCAGACCCTTCATCTCGTACTTCCCCTCTGAGTTGTTCCTCCAACCGCTTCCCCCTCTCATCTTTCCCTTCCACCATGTCCAATGCCAAGGGCAGCGCGCCACCTATCGATGAATTGGTTGAGGGCTCGGGCAACGCGTCGCACGTCGAGCACCAGCACGCTGAGGGTACTAGGAGCGGCGAGAATCAAGCGGAAGTATCTGCAGCTCGACAGAGACATAAAATTGCGCAGTTGGAGGAGAAACTAGCGACTCTCAAATCTGGGCGCGCCGTCAAAGAAAGGTATGGCCGCTGTTATAGGTGTTGAGTTTGGTTTCTCATTATCATGGTAATCTAGGCAGACGAACTATTACGTGGCTCAAGGAAGAGCGATCAGGCGTGTTGTCACTTTGTTTGATAGCCTTGAGGATCTAGTTGCCGAAAACGACCGGAGATACGAATTTGAAGAGGACGCAGAAACTACTGCTGAGTACCAAGATTTTTCCTGGGTTTGTGAACACTACTCATGGTATGATTGCACAGTCATGATCGGTTGCAGATAGGTTACATGACATTCACGAAAACTATGCGGTGGTTTCATCAGAAGGCTACGGAGGCAGATTACGAAGAATATGCAGATATGTTAAAAATGGTTGATTTTCATGCTATCAATGATTGCCTGGCTTTCGCTGAATTTTGTTTCCAGCTTCGGCGAGGGGCAGACGCTGCTCGAGGGGATGATACGTCCAAACTGAAGCCTCTCGTTTCTGAGTGGGTCAACCGCGAATTCAAGCCCGATCCTCCGGTCAATCCAGATGACAAGCATTCTCGCGGGTTCATTAACGATGCGTGCGGTAGGCTACTTTGCCCGTCGGAACTTGATTGGAACAATTCGGCGTAAGTGGTGCATTCAGAATCCGGAGAAAAACTACTCAAATGTCACCAGTGTAAAGGCTGGCATTAGAGATCGCGCAGATGGCTACACCGTGACTGACCTGTCCTTTCCGGCATTTGTATATGAAAAGTACACGGCAAATCCTGATGATCTGGAGGACAGGCTTTTCAAGGGTAAAATTCTTCTTCAGGTGTGTCACGGTGGTCCAGCGGCAACGGAAAGTTGATCTCATTGGCTCTCCAGGCATTCAAAGCAGTATTCACATCGCCCTCCTCAGCTAAAGATGTCGAAGGGGACGGCGATGGAGCGGACGTTATCATCAGCAACAGACGTGCTAGGAAATCCTTCAACACAATCAAGGTCAAGAAACACGTGGCGCAGATCATCAAGATGGAGAAGGTCACCCCTCGGTCAATTGCATACATAGTGTGCCAAGTAAGTCAGCATTAGTGAAATCATTGATGGGATCTGATGATTAAACTGATAGGTCCAATTTGCGCTCTCTTCCGTCACCTCGTGGCGCTCTATTGACGGGGATTTCGACTATGTGCACTTCTGGTGGATTATTGTGGACTTTTTCGAAAAGCCCCCCGGTCGCAACGCTCGGCTCAGGGCAGACAAGCTTCTGGAGTGGTGGACCAGGTGCGTTATTGACTGTCCCAGCAAGCCCCAACTGAATTCGCCGTCTAGAAAATTTTTTGGAAAGAATCGTCGTAACGACCTCAGCCAAACAGTGATGGAAAATATGTCTGTCAACGCTCTCGCAAGGCAAAGGGCAGCGCGCGCTGATGCTGTTTTCGATTCGCCATAGGACTCGGACGTATCTTATCGTTGTTTATAGCAAACCACCTGTAGCATACTTAGCATTCATAATCTTTGCACTAATGTCATAAATGGTTCGAAATTTCCTTCATGTGATGAGGATACATATGGATGGATATTTTTGCAGTAATAAGCTGTATTTCAATGACCGATCTCCAGAACATACAATTACAACCTCCTGAGACAGGCCGTCACCAATATATAACAGCGCCAAACAATAAGTTCCTCGTCAGCCTGAGATGCATGAGCAATATGCCGATATCTCGAATACACGCCTACAAAATCACCCTTTGGGGCGCGCACGGAATTGCGATGATGCTGCAACACAACACACATTATCTGCTGGTCATTAGATGCTCGCAGTTTCAAGGTACAAGTTATGGATCACTCTCCTTATGTTTCATACCCTAAATCGATCGAATAGAAAATGAACTTTGCCGCATCCGTATTGTCTAGTTTCTCGATAATAAGCCATCACACATAGATGTCAGTGCAAAGCGGTGAGGTCATTGTCGGATGGACGAGTTGTATCACCACGATCTCAAAGGCACGTATCCATATTGTCTAGTTTCTCGATAATAAGCCGTCACACATAGATGTCAGTGCAAAGCGGTGAGGTCATTGTCGGATGGACGAGTTGTATCACCACGATCTCAAAGGCACGTATCCGTATTGTCTAGTTTCGCGATAATAAGCCGTCGCACATAGATGTCAGTGCAAAGCGGTGAGGTCATCTTCGGATGGACGAGTTGTATCACCACGATCTCAAAGGCACGTATCCGTATTGTCTAGTTTCGCGATAATAAGCCGTCGCACATAGATGTCAGTGCAAAGCGGTGAGGTCATCTTCGGATGGACGAGTTGTATCACCACGATCTCAAAGGCACGTATCCATATTGTCTAGTTTCTCGATAATAAGCCGTCACACATAGATGTCAGTGCAAAGCGGTGAGGTCATTGTCGGATGGACGAGTTGTATCACCACGATCTCAAAGGCACGTATCCGTATTGTCTAGTTTCGCGATAATAAGCCGTCGCACATAGATGTCAGTGCAAAGCGGTGAGGTCATCTTCGGATGGACGAGTTGTGTCGCCAAGATTTTGAAGGCACGCATCTAGGATTCCTCTGTGGGGCACATTGAGTACTAAATCACAGCGTCCATGACAATATTCATATTACATCAGTTGAATGATGAATAAGATAGTGAGGTAAGCCAATGCTCACCAATGTCAAAACCGAAGCTAAGGTACTGTACCATAAAGATACAGCATCAGAGCAAGCTGCCACTTCTTGGGATGGAAGCGCAGATTAGCCACACCTGCCAGTCATTAGGTACTCACAGAAGGTTGGGTGGAGTTTTGAAGCAAGATATAATTTTGACTGTCGTCTGCTCGTGAACACACCCGGGTTGCTGTGCAAAAGGTGATTTTTCCTCGCACGGATTCCGAAGTGGAATATATAATATGACCATCGCATTCTCACAGAAGGTTGGGTGGCAGCTCGAAGTGGGATATAGGTCGACAGTCGTTCGCTCGGCGAAAACGTGAACACTACTTTGCACGGGTTCCCGACCGCAGTTTAAAATATTAGTATTAGACAATTGAGGAAGATGGCATTGAAATATTAAGTAGGACCTGTGTTGCTCGTCGCTTGCTTTGGTGAGCACATTGTTGTTCTCTGGATGTGCTGGCGCGCAGGAATACCCTAGACATCGACGAGTTACTGTTGAACATCCCTGTATTTCAAACAACTGATATCAAAGTGCAGCAGAGTAATGATTTCTGTCGCTCGCTCCACCTTGATACAAATTAATTGCCACCCGTATGAGGGACCGTATTGGACAAAATAAAATCAAAACGATAAAGTAAATAAATCGACGTTATAACCAAAACTTGAAGTGATTTCACAAAAGTCATCCACGTGGCTTCTCAAAACTCTAAATCATTTCACAAAAGTCGTCCACATGGCTACCAAATCAGGATGTCATGCACGAAAGTCATCCATGTGACTTCTCAAAACTCTATTCATGGCATAAACATTGTCCACCTGCTGGCTCAAGTCATCCCATGCTCACCATTATCAATGGTGAGCTCAAGGCGGGCCCTGCCCTTTGCGCGTCGGGTCACAGGTCACCGGTCACAGTATGGCAGGTGCGTGACGCTCGTACCAGTACTTGCTTGGTATAGTAATTAATCAATTACCAGTTACAGCCACTTGGGTATGGCTCTGCACGCGCTACTTATTGTTCAGATGGTATGCTGAAATTTGAGACATGTCTCGTCCCACTCTCTCCATGCTTTTCGCTATCACTGCCAATCCCAAACTTACCCTTGCTCAACCTGACCAGATATGATGCATCTGATGTGTCGCGCCCATCAGCAATGCCTAGACATGGCCTGTACCACTACATCCCTACAGAGTGGATATGTATCCTTGTGAGTTGAGTTGTTTGTGCAATCGTCATCGACTTACTTGTCAACTCATAGAAATTCGCATGGTTCGGTTCCATGATCTATACCATTTGCGATATGTTCCGCGATGCATTGAATTAATCTATTACTGTAATTGTGAATGGACTACGTCCAAAGGTGATCAGAATGCTTGTATGGTAATATAGATCACATTATTCCACATCGACGAGGTGCGCAAGATACCTGTGAGACCTTGCGAAGTTGGTGACCCAAACGGGCAGATGTTTCATCATGGTATCTATGAAGACCAGGATCCTCACAATGAGTTACGGTTGATGAGTACACTCGTATTTAGAATTTAGTTTGCCCCCAAGAGGTGTTGCCATGATCTCATGTACCTTTGTACCATATGGTTCGCTTGCTTCTCATCTTCTTTGCTTGGTTCTACCACATGTTAATCATCCTCCGGCATGTCTCCCGATCACCTTGGTACTGTTCTTGCAACTCTACTGAGGTGTGTACTACATCCATTGTATCTTGTACCATTTTGTACTGACTCGTACCCTAGCCTCTGCCAGGTGCTTGAGAATATAGTATTGTTCATGCAACTCTACTGAGCTTCTGCTAGTGCACACAAATGGGCGCCTGAAGCATTATCACTATTCACATGGTGTATTAAGGAACTTGTCAGTTTTGTAAAGAACTAAGAAGGTGACGCCAATATGGTACCAACCCTTCCGATCACTCACTGGCACTAGAAACCTGGCGGGCAGGCGAGCACCATCTCTTGTCTCTTTTTCCTCCACTTCCGAATTGTCCAGTCGCTCCCTCCATAACCTGGCGCACTGATCCAGTATTTTTACACTTATTCTGCTTTATGTTACTTGTCAATAAGTTCCTAACCATCCAGCTTTCTTTCGCTCAATAATTTTTTGCCAATTTCTCCCAATTCTCTGTCTTCTGGTGCGTGTTCATCTGTAATTTTCACTGTTACACATCTAATCCACTGTCTCTTGTCAGAGCTGAAACCATAATCAAGATCCTAATTCCAGTCTACTAATTGCTGCTTTCTGGTGCGCATAGATCTATAGTTTTCGCCACAAGATTGTATCTAATCTCCCCTCTTGTTGGTCAGTCAAACCATGTCAATCCGCTACCAGTGTAATCAGTGTCTTTCCCATGGCTGTTCGTCATTCTTCCCCCAGTCTGCAGATCCATCTATGGTATGTTCTTTTCAGTATCATATTCCAAGTTAAGCCTCACTATAATCAGTGCTATTGCGGTCATTCATCAACATCTCATGACCAAAGTCCACCCCCAGCAGAACCTATACGTCATCCTTCATTCCCACCCCGAGGAGGGATAGGTTCATGCTCTGAATTTCGAAGTGTGGGTAACATCCAGGTATGCAGCGCAGTACCAGTTTTTCAACATCTAACTTATACATTTAATTCGTTAGATTGAAGACTATTTTCAAGCATGTGTGTGTGGCCAGCACTATAGCGCACATACACCATCTGTTGCTCCTTCATCCAATGCTGGTGCATCGAGCATGAACCTTCCCATGCCGCTACAACTGAGCTTACCAGCAGGCAATGTTGCAACCACACCCTCACAAGCTTCACGTTTAGTCAATGCACCTATTGAAGCTACGCACTCTTCCGATTTCTTCAGCTCCTTACCACGGCATTCTATTCCACTTTATTCCATGCCAGCATCCAGGTCTGACACGGTCCTACCATTGGCAGGTGGTACGCAGTCTTTGGTATCCTCATATGCACCACATGCTGCATTACAACCACCCATCTCACGAGGGCACATGGCATTCGGTGTACCCATGGCAGGCATTACAATGGGAACCTTTGGTGCACGAGGGCGTGGTCGTGGTCGTGGTCGAGTTCACCCTGTCACGCAGTCAGCACGAACATTGAAGATCCAGCTGATCATTTTGCCAAAAGATGTAAGTCGTACAACTGGTCAACATTATCAAGCTTAGCTGACATGCTAACTTACATAGCTTCTGAATCTATATGATGTCGATGATCCATCAGTGTCTGACGATGACGCTGTAGTTACTACACGTATGCGTGCTGGAGAAGCATTAGCTGCAGACTTGCGCTTTCTTGCCAAACATGGCTTGAATAGGCAAGTCACACTAATCGCGCAAAGACCTCAAGACTATTTGCTTGATCAGATTGCTGACGCGGTCAGAGATATGGCTGTTGACGCAAAACTTGCCTTTCCAGCATGGCAGCCAGAAGCCCTCGACCTCGATGGTGATAACACGAACCGTGAGATGCACATCCAGTTCCATGAACTTCCTTTCCGTTTTGTTCTACCAGGCAATGCCAATGCTTCCCTCGGCCAACTGCTACATTCGCATCGACCATTCATTTTCTTTCCAAAGTTTGCAATTCAGCATTTTTCAGAAGCGGTGCTCACGAGTTACAAATCCTGCAGACCCAACTGTCGGGTTATTATACATCTGTGCGTCAATTAACACCTGTCATTCAATTGTTATTCATGTGTCTATTACTCTAGGTCCCAAGGGAGGGCCAATTGTAGGTCCGGTCAACCCTGGCTCCCCCGTCCAACATTATTGCTTCGCCAATAGAATCATGGCCCATCTTGTACAAGGCATCAATGACCCTCTTGGTACACCCGACCGTTTTCAAACTGTAACTTGCAAGGCATCTTGTCCCGAAGATGATGTGCCTCAATCACCTGTAACTGTGTCCTACATTCCATCCACACCTAGCACAAGTGTGTCAGCTGCTACTCCATCATCGTCCAACTTTTCCACTGGCAGCAATATTTCATCCTCAAACCTTACCCGGTACCACAATCGTGATCGTTCTGCCTCGCCAGGACGCACATCAGCTGGCAATATGTTTCATGCCCAGTCTCAATCTCGTGGACGTACAGTTGAACGCCTGACCCCTTACATTCAATGCCACTCAGTTTCCTCATCTCCAGATAATCTCATGCTAGATTCACCGGAACTAGCTGCATCATCTGAGCCATTACGCTCCACCATGTCCAATGATGCTGCTCCATCTGTACAGCTAGTTGAAGACATAGTCATGGATCTGCGTCCTGTAATCCAATATCGTCGTCATCGAAATAGACGCGCATTGTCTCCATTACGTCCTTTCCCTGCCCAGCCTGGGCGTAATTCTACTATGCCTCTACCTGATCAGGTTCCATCGACACCTTCTTCATCTGAAGATCGATCCAGGAGCTCCATCAATCCAAACCCAGGCACTATCCTTCGTCGTTCAACCAGATCTAGACGTGGATCTCATACTCCACTAGGTTCATATGATGACACTGGGTCACCAATCATACCCTTCGATACTGCAGCATTCATTTCGATAGATCAGCTGCGTCGGAGCATTGATGCATCAGTAGATGTGGGTCATTCAACCAGCATCCTTCGCATTGAAGCCGAATCTATTATCCATGCTGCGAATGGACTTGTTGGCTGGCTTGGGCACCAGCGCCTTCACATGGATGACTCCCATCCATACAAGGCACCGAATGACGCTATAAGCTTCATTGTTAGTCCAGATGCCCCCGAGGATCGCCTAAACATCTTTTCCAAAATATGGCAGGTGCAGGCGTAAGTATTATCTTTTCCTTTCTGAACGTTGCCTAGGCTGACCACTGTGACCAGTGGACATCCAGATGCTACCGACAGCATTGGAGATGGTGTATTGCGCCAAGTTCTTGAGAGTGCCCTCACTAAGTGCATATCATGGAAGCCCAGCTGCACTTCCACGGACAGTGGTGATGGAGGGGAAGATGGTGATGGTGATACTTGTGAGATGCTTGATGATGGATATGTCACGCTGAGGATTTCAAGTTTTCCTTCTGACGAGAAGCTTGATATTGTGTTTGCTCTGGGACGACTTGCAGCGATCTATATGATCAAAGTCGGCAATGGGCCTGATCCGATCTCACCAGCTCTTCTGGAGTGCATTATTAATGGTGTTGATGCCATTATGGACCTTCCCTGGCTTCGTCAATTTCATCCATCTCTGACGCAGACACTTGTACTCCTTCCGATAGAGCACGGTGGAGAAATGCCAAGCAATGTGCAGGATCGTCTTAAACTAGTGCGTATCTTTCAAACACATATGGGTTCCACGGTGAGTTGCATCACTACAGCGGCTCTTTAACTTTTGACACCTAACTTGAATATTAAACATACTTCTAGTACGGCGAGATTGTCCAAGCCTCGAAAGATCAATGGCCACAAATCAAACGTGATTTCTTCAGCAGCGCACTACTGGGACATCCTGCAGCGAAGATAATCAACTCCAAGGAATTCCATGCGTTCAAAGATGGTTTTGATATGTTTCTGACGACATCATTGGGATCTCTGTGTCATGTAAGGGATATCATTCATTTTGAAGCCTCTGACGAAAACTTGCACTGTAGTCATTGGCACCGACATCAAAGAAGATATTTCAAGATATATTCAACCGGCGTGTGACGGTGGATGCACTAATCCCACTGTTACGATTTGAAATAGATGGTGATGCAGTTTTCCGTGCACACATGTCTCCAATGCTCCAGTCCTTCCAAGATGCATTCTATCGCTATCTCAGGGGCAGTGGACATTCTAATGACCCTTTATTTTCTGCTTTCACCGTTCGGGAAGGTGCCACCGCTGATCCTAATTATCGTGCTCGCCGCTTTGTCAAAGTATTGAGTGGGATTCACCTTCTGCCACCCACTACACTCCAAGTTTTCAAGGTATGTAATGTATACACCGCCTATGTATACAGCACTCAATGATACAATGCTAGATCAACCTCGTGCAACACATTCCAGATAGTGTTACAGTTTAATGGTCAATATAACGTAGGTTATCTCTTGTGTATGCCATGGACCGTTCACACTGTCTAACTTGATGCAGATCGATGAGGATGTCATTCCGCCACTGCCTCATACATGCCTCTACACATTGGACGTTTTCATTAACCCACCGTTAATCAAATACCTGCAAAATCCATCCGATGATCCCCGAGAACTGACTGTCTTAGATCGCTGCTTACATTATGCTTTTTTGGAGGCCGGTGATGATAGCTTCAACGCCAGAATGCCTATTACTATCTAATGATGTGCTGGCACCAATATGTGCCCTGTATCGATGTACCATCACCTGCATAGTACATTTCTTTCTCAAGTATACATGCATCATCACTTGCAGTTTAATCCACTTTCTCTGATATTCGCACATTACAATTTGCACCAGTATTCATGCACTATGACTAGAATTTGCAGCATGTATTCCGATTCCAGTAGTCATGTGTTACACATTGCTGTATATCCGCCTGTACAAATTGACTTCACTTCATCAGCATGACCGCGGGACCAGATGCACTCGCAAGTACGGGAACACCAGTTTCAGCCACCGTAGGTGCATCTACCGGGATTACGATGGGAGGAAGCGAGTGATCCTCTGGAATTGGTGCAGGAGATAGATTGAGCTTACTCGGGTTGCATGACATCATACGCGAGAGCATCGGCATTCAGACAACCAGCAGCGAGTTCTTTGAGGAGCAGATTGGCCTTGACGTGTTGATCTGCATTGAATAGGGCAGTGGCCTGAAATACACGATGAAGCGGAAAGGTTGGGTGCCCTGCTTCACTTGGGGCGAGTGCAAGAGCATCGGCCTTTGCAGGATGCGTATGAAGCACCCCGACGCATCAAGCACTCATTGATCCCCGCGTGAAGCATCAGTGCTTCTCAGGGACCGAGCTGCGTAAGTTAACAGCGGACGTTTGTGACGCGTGAAGTAATTATATAGAGAAAACGATAATGATGCGAGCGACATCATTTACGATAGAGAAGCCCACATTACATGTTTGCAGGGGGGTGACTCGGGTTCAGGATTGATATCGCACCATAGATGCGTCATTGCAGAGAGTTCAGGTGGAGAAAATAGCCGAAGCCCGTTGAATGATCCGTGGAATGTAAGTAATGGTAGGTGGATAAACTTGGTGATTTGTAGCGAATATGAAGCGAACTCCACATGGGTCGTTGTCAAGGTAGACGGGGTCATTTCAAATACGAGGCCCCAGTGTTTGTAGCTGCGTGCGATTCACTGTCAAACAGTTGTCTGAGTGCTCGTCTGAGTCTGAGTCAAAGGAGATGATAATGATGTATTCAAGGGTGTGGCGTGCGTCGATAGTGTACAAAAAGGCTGCTCAGGCATGACTTGTACATGCATCTCGAATTGCTGTGGGGAGGCGAATGTGTTCACATAGAAATTGAGGATGGTGACATGGAGGAAAGGTGTGGATTTGAGTCACGTCCAGCTTCTGCTACCACACTCCAATTTGACTCGGAGAGGTCGGAGAGGTGGTTCTATGCTTCCCATTATAACCCAGATGTCTTAGCTGCATGTTTCAGCCAGAAGGAGTGACTCGTCCGCTGTGAGATCCCCAGCATCACCGGTGGCTAAGGCCTCCAAAGAAGCAGCGTCCCAATGGATTTCAAAGCTGGGTAAGACAGCCAAAAATTGAACAGGAAGAGGTGCAGATATGTGATTGGGAGCCTCAACCTGCCATAATGACGACAGCAAATTCGGAATATGCACGTCTCGGTGTGGAAGACTGAGCAGGCAAGAGTTTCTATCAGACGATATATCGATTGAGCAGAGGCGGATGGCATGATGCAAGGGATGACGGGCTTCGTGCTCAGATAATGGTTCGACGCCCTCAGATTGGCAGATCTGCATTTGAGTGCTTTGTGAGCTGATAGACTGAAGATCGTAATTAGTCTGCACTGACCCTGTGCCATTACAATGTACGGGATGTAACCTCGTTACACAACCTAGCAATAGGTCTGACTCGTCTACGTTAGTCGTGCGCTGAATTGTTGATGGCAAGTCTAGTTCCAGACTAAATGGAGTTACGGCTCTCCGGAGGTCACTCTATAAAAGTAAGAGAAGGAAGACTTGAGGTCCTTTTCGCCAGTGATGGGTGGAGGCTGTGCGCCGGAGCTCGGCGCGCATGGGTTCTACGGCGATGTCACCGAAGAGCTTCCATAGGTCGGAACATAAAGATGTGGGAGAGTTTATTTGATTGGAGGGAGTAGAGGGAGTACGATAGATTGCTAGGATGGTGGGCAGAGGCCGGCTCTGATGGTAAGATACAGCTCTGAGAGCACGAGAGTAGAGCAATGGCGAGATGCACATGCACGATCCGTGCGCTAGTAATGTGGAACAATGCAACCGAGTTAACCTCGTCATTCGCATAGAGTATCTTCTCCATCTGAGGCCAATTCTCGACGTGGCCAGCAACGATGCAAGGGGTGCAAGGAAACTTTGAGGTGAACTTGCGAAACATTGTTGACTGTGTTGGAGCGAATGGCAGAGCGGACAAGTATAAATGGGGGGTGCTGCGTAAGATAGTGGTCGCAAAAGTTCGGACGAAACACATGGTATCCCTGGTAGCGTGACTAACATGCGTGAACTCAGCGTGACCCTACGACCACCCCGCTACTCGTAAGATTTCGTTGGGAAAATAATAAGCTTGAGTTACGCACTGAAAACCATTTTTCGATGGATGAGAGGGTCACTACAGAGCCGCCGAGGGTTTTCGTCAGGGCCAGTGCTTCCAACCATCAAAGGAGGCGCTCTCCATCGAAGAAAGCTTCAACTTCCTTAGCGAGCGACGATTCGAAGGACGTAGTGCTGACATGAGTTCCCCAGAATCGACATGAGTATGATAGCTCAGCCGGAATGGATTCTTTGACTTGTTTCTCCAAATCAGGGACAGAAGAGTTAGGCAAGTACGAATTCTTCAAGGAGCAGATGATGAAGCGAAATCCACGCTTCATGACCAAAAGCGAGGTAAAGGCAAGGTTGCTCTGTGCCAAAGACACATCGATGAAGAAGTCACGACTGCGCAGCCAAGTCACGTGCAATTGTGGTGAATATCTTCTGGTGGAGTCGATCTGCTCCCCGTGTACGGTCGAAGCAGAAGCATGCTCCCAGACCCCCAAACTCGTTAGACTAGTTGGCTATTGTATGGGCGATGGCTGATTTTCCTCCCCCTGCCATGCCAGACAACCATAAGACACGTGGCACGTCCTTCTCAGTACTGCTGATCCAAGGCTTGATCTCCGTCAAAAGCTCGTTCCGAGTATCTGGCAGACAACACTTGAAGGTATTCAGTCCAGCACCAGCTGCATACTCCATGTCCCTGAGGTCCCGATCCTCGGCTAGGTCACGGATCATGGAACGTCAGAGGTTTGACGGTGAGTGTGAGGCTGATCCTTACCTAAACCTGCCAGGATGATCGCGGCGTCGCCAATCACTTGGTCTCGGAATTGCTGCATGAGGTTGTCGAGAACGTCACTGTGACTGCGAATCTCGGCATCCGTGTCCCTGAAGATGTGCTTGCCAAGTCGTTTCCCTGAACAAAGAGAAACGAGATCACACTAAGTGCCAGGCAATGACGCAGTGGTATGAACTCACCGAAACTCTTCATCTCCGAGTAATGGATGATGAATTCCGCGCGCTCCAAAGGTAGCGACATTTGTAACGTCTTCATCCTTGACATGGTTCAAACGGCTCGAAGCACCGAGGCAGAGTAAGGCGCGTGTTGACTGCGCAGCACTTCCATAAAAATATTGGGAAGGTTACTATCCAGGGCCTTCGACTTTGGCGAGAAGGGTAACTGAATTGTACTTGCTGGTAAAGACGAGGCGATGTATCATGACGCGCACGGCTCCCAGGAGCTTGTACATCTCACAGTACTAGTATACAACTTGCTACACCCGAACCATTGGCGTCCGTGCTAGCTTCCAAGCCGCACTGTATGTATCGCCTCCAGTTTGGAGCTGAACAAGTTGCACATTCGTACATGGACATATGTAGCTGGTACTTAGTCATGAGGTTACATTTCAACGGCCGGTTGTGACAGCCACAGAGACAGTCTCCAAAAAAGGTCAGAATGCAAGGAATACAAGGACTGGAGGACACTTACCGAAACATATGCGATGCCCTTGTATCCCAGGGCAGAATCAAAGGAGCGAAGCTCTGAAGAATGGTCAAAGCGGAAAGGACAGCCAAAGTGAAAGACACATACCAGATTGAATGAAAGCAGATAGGTAGAAAATGGCATGTGTGCAGATGTTCAGAACGACAAATTCACAAGCAAGAAGACATCTTTCGGTGATGGAGGCGTGCGAGCTCCACCTATTTACACTGTTCGCCACCCGGCTACACCAAAGGCAGTTACTAAGTGAGGAGGGTAGAGCTACAAGCACCGTCTGACATACTCGAAGTCTGGAACCAAGAAAGAAGCTAATTACAGAAAGTGAGAGATCGGAATCGTATGGTGGACGAATCCCACTTTGTGTGAAAAATGTCACGTGACGACTCAGCCACAGCGCTCGCCTTCCTTTCTAAGTTTTCTTGACCTTCGTTTGCCAATACCACTCCACGTGCGCCTGGACCTCGACCACCGGCACGATCGACAACGATCGACGATCTCGCGGATCGAAAAGCAGCCCGAGAGATGGAATGACGACGGACGAGTCGTTTGAATGCCTCAAAGGCACCTGCAAAGACCACTGACTTGAAACCTCAGGCTGAACTTGTTTGTCAATGATATCTTCGAGCGCGTCAGTACGTCATCCTACCTCTACGTCAACTTCGTCGCGGGTCTAATTTGGCCGCAGTGTTTGAGGCAGGTGCACCCTGATATGTGCCCGTCTCCAATGGGACCGCGGCCATCCTGAACTCGTTTGTCAACGACATCTTCGAGTGCATTGGTGCGTCCTCTTACTTCTTCATCGCGGGTCTAACCTCTTGTTGCATTGTTGAGGCAGGTGCATCCCGATACCGGTGATCTCCACTGGGGGCCACGGCCATCTTGAACTCGTTTGTTCAAACGATATTCTTTGTGCGCACCTGTGCAACCTGACAGACGGGCATCTCCAATGTTCGCAGGGTCCGATACGACATCTCTCGCTCTAACGTGGACATTCCTTTTGTTGCTTTGGATTTTGAAGGTATGTCGAATTAAACCATCAGTGGACGTTTCACACTGATATCTTTCTTTGATAGGTGTTCATAGTATTGAGCGTTCTGCTCAAGAAGA